AAGTGCACCTAGCAGCCTCTCCCTGAGGCACACAGCAGCTACAGGACAGGGAATGGCTTCTCCATGTTTCATTCTGCTGATTCCTGCTCTCCACATCAGTTCCTACATGTTTTCCATGGTTTGCCAGGCTGTCATCTCAGGAGCAGCCCGTGGGAGGGCACAGCTCCATGGGACAGGTTTCCTGTGCAGCTCCTGCACCCCCTTGGCCACAGTCCCAGTTTGCTCCCACTGCAGGCACTGCTCAGGCAGAGCCTCCCTGCTCTGCTGCTCAGCATTGACCCCCCAAACCTTTCCATGAGCTCCTCAGAGTGCTCCCAAGGGTTTCTGTAAAGCTGAGATCAGGCAGCTGTGCCAGCACAAAGATGGCTGTAGCAGGAGCCTTGTGGGCAAGTGCATTTCATGATGGTTTTCAGAAGTGCCTTTTTGGAAGGTGTCACATTCCAGACCCAGGATGGTGCAAAATCACTCCGTGAAGGGACCATCCCTTCACTCAGCACATTTGCATTTGTCCTACTTCTATTCCTGTAGACCTAAAAATCATCAAATTCCTCCTCTCTGATATGCAGCACCACCCTTCCCAGGATGCTATACCACAGCATTTCAGCAGAATATGTCAGGACTACACAGAAAATATTTTAAGATCCTACCCTGCGTCAGGAACTCCCCCAAACTCACGTCTGTTCTGATTTCACTTCACCCCAGATCACCTGGACAGTCAAAACAAGAGACAAAATATGAACACGAACAACACTTGTTTTATTTTACAGCTTCTCTGTACAATTTTTTTTTTTAAGTAAGAAAAAATTATACCAAAAAGCAAAACTTCAGGCTGTTATGCCTGCAATGAGCACTGACCAGCTGGTGCTGCCTACAGCTGGCACAGCCCAGCAGCCAGGCTGAGCTCTGTCTCACCCCTGATATTTATTTACCATGAGATTTCAAAAAACCAGTAACTGAGAGCAAAAAGCTGCAGCCAAGCAGTGGCTGGATGTGCTGAATTCCACAACCTTGGAGCACCTGAACAGGGGGGTTGGTGATTGCCACAGGCTGTGAGCACCCAGAGACTCTTGCAGGAAATGTTGCAGATCCTGACAACCACCAAGGACACCAAGATGGGCAGTGGGGTCCTGTCCCCAAGCTCCAGGACAGCAGCAGGACAGGTCCATGCTCTCTCCAGGACAGGGCCTCTTGTCACTGCTCTAGCTGGTGCAAGGTGATATCAGGTGGCTTCCTGGTGGCTCCTCACAGCAGCCACCCTGCACAGTGCCAGCAGCTGCAGAGGCTTTTCTCTATGTGGGTCTTAGGGAGCTTGTAAAGTCATTCCCCTCACTAGAAACAATCAGGGAAGATTTCTAACCTGCCAAGATTGGTGGATTTCTCTGGCCCCACTGTCTTGGGAAAATGGAATTTGTCACAGCTGGACCACACCTGTGACATGTGATGGCTGTGACAGTCCTGCACACTTCTTACAGGGATAACAAACATGGGACTCAGGCTGTGGAGTCCAGCCTGCTCCTCTCCTCTCCTCCCCACAGAAGTGTTTAGTGGCAATGCCTGGGAAAGCAGCCACAACCCCAGCTGCTGCTGACTGAGGCAGGAGATGTCTCTGTCCACACAAACTTCCCAAAGCAGGAGTGTGACTTCCTCCAAGCCTGTGACCAAAAGTCCCAGGGCAGCACAGGGCTGGATCTCCTCTGCCCTGGAGAGCCAGGAGAGCAGGAGCAGGGTCCTGTGCTTTTATAGCAGGGAGAGGCCATGCTTCAGTGAAACATCTCTGAGGGGACACACAGATCCTGCCTGTACCTCTTTGTGCTGGTGTTCACAGGGGTCCCAGGACGAGGGAAGAGATGAGAATCTTGACTCCATGTTTCAGAAGGCTGATTTATTATGTTATGATATATATTATATTAAAAGAAAATTATATATTAAAACTATACTAAAAGAATAGAAGAAAGGATCAGAAGGCTTGAAAGGAAAGGAAAGAACGATAATAAAATCTTGTGACGGACCAGAGTCCGAGACAGTTGGACTGTGATTGGTCATTAATTAGAAACAACCACATGAGACTAATCCCAGATGCACCTGTTGCACTCCACAGCAGCAGATAACCATTGGTTACATTTCATTTCTGAGGCCTCTCAGCTTCTCAGGAGAAAAGATCCTAACTAAAGGATTTTTCATAAAATGTGTCTGTGACATCTCTTGTCCTATTCAGAGGTTTCTGAATGTGCCAAGCAGTCAGATCCTGGTGCAAAACCTTCCCACTTGGTTCTCTTGAGCAGTTTTCAGCCTGGCTGGAGAACACACAGTCCTGTCCTGCCTCCAGCCATGCACTGGAGTTGTGTGTTCAGGTCACAGCATCTCCACTGCACAAATCTGCCCAGAAAGGGCATTGTCACTGCTCACATTGTCCCATCAGTGATCCCCTGCTGCTCAGGAGGAAGCAGCAGCCCAGAGCCATTCCTGCAGTGCCAAGCCTTCCCACAGCCACGTGCAAAGGGACACATCTCCACCAGGAGAGGCAAAGAGAGTCCTCCAAAAGCTGCAGGTGGGAACAGGCAGCTGTGCCAGCACAAAGATGGCTGTAGCAGGAGCCTTGTGGGCAAATGCATTTCATAATGGTTTGCAGAAGTGCCTTTTTGGGAGATGTCAGCCTGGCTGTCCCCAGCCCAGCCTCTGAGCAAAGCTGGTCTGCCAGGGTCATCACTGGCTGCATTTGCACCAGCACCCGGGGGGATATCCCTGCTCAGGAGGTGATAGTTGGGTCCTGTGCTCATCCTGTAGGAACACAGAATGTCCCGTGCTTCTGCAAATAAAAGGACATTAGAGCACCCAGCCCAGTGAGTCACAGAAAACCACAGCAAGCTCAAAGGGAGCACACTTTGAGAGGAGGTCCTTGCTGCAGGGCCTGGCTTGGGCAGCTCTCCAGGCACAGCCTCCAGCTGGGCTTTGCCTGGAGCAGGGGCCTCCCTGCCTTTAGCAATCAGATCTACATGTGAATAAATTCATTTCTGGCTGGGCAGATCCCACAGCAGCCACTCTGCCTGCTGCAGCCAGAGGCCATACTTTCCACCCACTGGGAAAACACTTATTTTTGCTAATAAGCAATTAATAAAGAGAAAAAGCAGAGCAGTAGCCCCAGCAGGAATTTCCTCTGGGGCTGGAGTGGGTCTCTCCAGGGCTGCTCTCAAGCTGTGAGCAGGGATGAGGGGCTGGGAAGCAGCTCCCCAGCATGCCAAACCCCCACAGCACCAGGCACAGGGGCCATGACACCATTCCCACACTGCACAAGGAAGATGAGGGCAATTACATACTTAAATCACGAATCCCCAACATTTTAATGCACTCAAGGGGCCTCAGGACATCAAATCTGATCAGGGACACTTGCTGCCCCACAGGGGTGCAAGGAGCCAGGAAATCCCCAGACTGGAAGTTCCCAAAGCAAAAGGCAGGCAGAGCTGCAGGATCCCAGCCAGGGCAGAGATTTCACAGAATTTCAGTGTGAAGACCTCCCTTGAAGGCTCTGAGAGGTTTGATGTAGGAGGGAGATCAGTGATAGGACTCAGATGTGGGAGGCAATGACAGCAGCACTGGCAGACAGATAAGGAGGCAGAGCCTCAGAGCAGACAATGCTCAGGTGGCAGGGCTGGCACGTGGATGTGGGTGGTTTCACAGAAGGGATGATGGGAGTTCTCAAGGCTGTTTATTGTTTCTTATCTATGAAATTCTTTCTCTGACCTGCTGGGGTCTGTCTGGGAGGTCGGGCTGAGGCACACTGGTGTTATCTTTTATACTGAAAACTGTGTACATTATTTACAATAACTTCTCAATACTTATCACCTATGTTAAACAGTGAGCTTCTACTCTAAAATAATCTAAAAGTGCCAGCATCACTTAGAACATGGAGGCTAATTAGAAGAAGGAAAAGGGACAAAGCATGCCCAAATTCTTCTATCTTGGGATCCCGAGCCCCCATTCTAAAAACTTCAAAAAATCTATTTTATCACTCTGTGACAAACTAACTATTATTCTACTTAAACTCTCTTGACTTGTAATTCTTCATATAAAGGTGGTCATTTGCTCCATGGGTCAGGATCAAAGGCACAGGTGTGTCCTGGGCTCTCTCTGAGCCCCAGGCAGGGCCTGGAGCCATCCAGGACAGCCAGAGGGATGTCCTGGGTGCTGACACGGGACCACACCTGAGCAGGGCCAGTGACACCCAGCTCCAAAAGCTCTTTCCCAGTAAAGGGAGGCCATGGAGGAAGGCTGCAGGCTGTGTGCCAAGGCAGGGCAAGCCCTGGAAAGCAGATGTGGTCCCGTTCCCACCCTGCATCACAGCCTGTGCCCTGGAATGCCATGGCCTTGTTTTTGCTGCTTTATGCATTTGTCCTAAAAATGCACAACACACTCCAAATCTCCAAAAGCCTTCCTCATCCAGGAGAGCCCCAGAGCTCCTGTACCCCATCCAATCACAGAATGGTTTGGGTTGGAAAGGACCTTAAAGCTCATCTCATTGCACCCTTTTCCATGGCAGGGACACCTTCCACTGTCCCAGGTGGCTCCAAGCCCTGCCCAGCCTGGCCTTGGGCACTGCCAGGGATCCAGGAGCAGCCTCAGCTGCTCTGGGCACCCTGTGCCAGGGCCTGCCCACCCTCACAGAGAGAATTTTCTCTCCAATATCCCATCTAACCCTGCCCTCCAGCAGTGGGAAGCCATTCCCCCTTGTCCAAAGTCCCTCTCAGCTCTCCTGGAGCCCCTTTAGGCCCTGGAAGGGGCCCTAAGGTCTCCCTGGAGCCTTCTCCAGGCTGAACAGCCCCAGCTCTTCCAGCCCATCTCCACAGCTCAGGTGCTGCAGCCCTCAGAGCATCTCTGTGGCCTCCTCTGGGCTCCCTCCTCACCCAGCCCAGCCCATCTCTGCAGACACACAGTCCCTGAGGGATGGGTAGAGGGGTCTCTAGTAACCCCTGCTAAAACCTGAGGTGTGTAAAACTCTGGGGAGGTCATGACCAAAGAGATTTTATTACTTTTCATGTTTTGTAAGACTCTGTAGGAAATCCAGTTCATCATAAAGCAAAAAGAAGCTGCACAGAGAGAAAATACAGGAAAAAACATCAGAAGTCAGAAGTGGAAACAGTGAAGTCTAAGGCAGAAACCAAGCAGTAATATGTGGAGCACTGGGAGTGATCACAGGGCACATATTTAAATTAGGTTACAACTGACAGTTCATGACATTATCAACACAAAAATAATCATTGTCACCTGCTGTCCTTTAGTTTAATTTAATATTTACATCAGTTGCAGGTGGCTCAGGTTCCTCCAAGCCCCGCATGCCAAAGGAAATTTTCACTCATTTTCCTGGTACACCCCCAGGTCACAGTGGGACAAGAAGCTGATTTGTAGTGGTCCTGGCTAGATGTGCTTTCCAGGCACATCTTCCAGCCAAAACTCATCAGCACTGACACAACCAACTCCCAGTGACCCAGGCTGCCAGCAGTGCTGGCTCCTGCAGAGTCTGACAGAGGAGTTCAGAGCAGCAGAGCTCAGGAGAAAGGATTGGTAACGAATTTATACTGCAGAGTTGTCCAATTCCATTCCAAAGCTCCTCTTGGCTGAAGGGCAGGCCCAAGAATGCAAAAATCCCCAAATTTCACCAAGGCTGCTGCAGTTGTCTGGAAACTTTTGTTTCTGGAGCTGGAGGTCCCAGTTTCCCAGCACTGTCCCTGTCTCTGTGATGTCCCCACCCCAGGCTACATCTGCCACCTCAGCTGACAGCACCAACATTTGCAAGCTATTTTCCAATTCTGTCCACTGCCAAATTGTTCTGATTTCCTTATAAAGATAAAATTCAAATATTGGCCTTCAGTTGTTTTCTCTTTACAAACAAAAATGGTGAGTCAATGAGTGCTTTGCTAAGGGACAGGTCAGCCTGCATTTCTTTAAGTACATCTCTAATGCACCTGCCCTCATCCAAGGGCATTTCAGACAGCCAAAATATGTATTTAAAAAATCTGACTTTTAATGTGAACTCCAGCAGGTGGCAATAAAATCACCTGTAAAGAGCTGCTTGTTAATTTTTAAAACATGAGAACTGCACACCATGAAGAATTTTGTCTATGACTGATCAAGTTAAATTGTTTGGGGCAAAATAAAAGTAAAACACCGAGAATGTAACTCTGTTCTAGCTCTCCTGGAGTCCCTTTAGGCACTGGAAGGGGGTCTGAGGTCTCCCCCAAACCTTCTCCAGGTGAACACCTCCAAAACAGAGGGGATCCAGCCCTCAGAGCATCTCAGTCCAGCAGCTCCTGGTCCTCCTTGTGCTGGGACCTCACAGAGGGGGATGCAGCCCTGCAGCTGGGGTCTCACACAAATACAACTCACACATGAGACTCACTTCCAATTCTCAGGTGCCTTTGGAAAAAGCAGGAATTCACACAATCAAACACAAAGGAGTTTATTCCTGTTCTGGTGGACTTGCAGGGCTGGGCATGGCTCCTCATCCACAGCCATGATTCCTTCAGGCCAGTCCTAGTTGAAAAATGTCTCTTCTCTCGCCATGAAAGTGATTTGCTTGGTTATTCACAGGATAAACTTTTTCCATACTAGGAGACATTCACTGAATTTTGATTGAATGCAACATCACACCACCCTGTTCCCAGGGAGTGAGCTGCCTGCCAGCAGGCCACACCAGGGCCTGTGCCCAGGGACTGCACACACAATGTGCCAAAATGAGACATTTGAGAAGGTTTTGTTTGTCTGAGGAGGGTTAGAGCTGAATCAAACATCAAAACTTTTGGATTTTAAGTTGCCAAACATGTTTGGTTTTGGATGGTTTAAGTTGGCAAACATATTTGTTATAGGATTAACTCTAATTGTGTTTTCATGGCCAAGTCTCCAAAATAACCTCGTGCCAGCTTCTTAATTTACACTTCTGTAGTAGCTGTTGTCAGGAAACCACATTCCTCCTATTCAGCAAGATTAGTACAATGCTGCATGTAAAAAGGATTAAGCATAGGAAAAACCAGTGTCTTTCTGAGGGATTCTGGTAATGTCTGCCCAGCTGAACTGAAAAACAGAACCAAACTGATCTCCATGACATGCCAGAACACTGCTATAGAAAAAAAAAAGGGATTTTGAAGTCAATACACACATGCACACAAATTTTCACCTCTTGAAACCAGATCTGCATGGGCACACAGGCTACCTTCCATCCTCCCTGGAAAGAACCAAATGGAGGAATATTAAAACCACACCACTGGGTGCATTCTACTCTCTTCTCAGTCCTCCTTTGAATCAAAAACCAGCAAGCCAGGATGAAGCCAAACTCTTGGTATTCATGTAAGCACAAGGTAGTTCACCTTCATGTGGCTGAAGTTTCCCCACAGGACTTGGCACTTCACAGGAACAAAAGCCCAAGATCACAACTTCCCATTTGTTTCACCATCATCTCCCAAACCAACATCCAGAATTAAATTTGCTTCATGAGAAATTTCTTTGATTTTGCTTACAATGCTTTTCTGTCTGATCTTAAGCATCAGAATACTCCAAGAAAATACTCAAAACAGAGAAACTACTAGTGAAGGTCTTGTGTGGACACAGCAGCTTCAAATAAGGTTTTTATTCAAAGGAAGCAGTTGTGAGTTTCTCTTCTCCTCCCTGCATGATCCAAAGAATGCATCAGAAGGATGTACCTAACACATGGGAACTTGCACCCTTGGAAATCAGCCACAAAGCAAAGACTTCAAAAGATGTTTATTAGGAAAACCAGACATTACAAGAGGGCCAAACAGATTGTACAAGACACGTGCAGCTTCTGGTACAATGCAGAGAACAAGAAAAGGCTGCAAATACAGGTAACACACCCACCTGAACTGCTACCAGGGGCACATCAATGCTCAGGTCACTTGCCATGAAAGGCAGACACTGGGGTCCTTCAGGTAGCCAGCCAGTCCCTGGGATATTTCACATTTCCTGCAGAAGTATAGATTGGACACAGAGCTTTAATGGCACTTCAAACAAAATTACTGCACAGGAATTCCTACATCCGAGTTGGGGCATTAATATACTGTATCTCATAAAATTTTATTTCTTTGTTTTCATTCAAGGTCATCAAGATTTCATGTTCTTATAGTGCATTTTTCCTCACAGATAATAAAACCTTGCTGTCTATACCTGATTCTGCCTAGCAAAGCATATCTGAGAGTGTTTGCTTTGCTAGCTAAGGAAGAGATCCAGGTTTAATTACCTGTCAAAACAAGGAAATTCAGATGTATTGACTGGCAAGTCCCTTATAACCCACATCAGAAAAGTGAAATATATATTAGTTAATGCTTTTATTAGGCTTTAGAACAAACATGTCCTAAACTTGATCAAACCCAGGAATTCTTGTCTTTAAAGCACAGCTAACAGCAACCAGTAATCCTCCATCACAGTGGAGAGCAAAATTCACTGAGCTCAGCAGAGAAAAATGAGCATGACCAGCTCAACAGCTTCTAGCAACAAGTGTGACATTAACAATAATTCTCAATCAGGAAAATTAATAGGAAAAATATCTCATAGAACAGATTGGTGAATTTACATTTGTGTCTGTATCTTAAAGAACAAATAAATACTACAAGAATGGTTAAAAATCTAATTCTCAAATTAATCTCTTCTCCTCCCTATATAATATATAATAAATGCTCTGTTTCTTGCCATTTTGTAATGGCTTTAGCAGCTGTCTGATTTCCAAGATCACAATTTCCCATTAGTTTCACCATCATCTCCCAAACCAACATTCAGAATTAATTTTTCTTCATGAGAAATTTCTTTGATTGTGCTTACAATGGTTTTCTGTCTGATCTTAAGCATCAGGACACTCCAAGAAAATACATCCAACATCTGTCTATAAACTTTAAGGATTGTATCAGAAAAAAAACCCATAACAGATTAATTATCCAGAGCTTGTCAGCCCCTTTGTCCCCAGCTCTAAACTTACCTTCTCTGTTGCAACACAGCTGTTGGATATGCTATAAATAAAGACAAACATTTCAATCAACACTGAAATTAATAAATGGAGGAAATCACAGCTGAGAAACAGCACCTAAGCCCTCCTCAGCCCCATCAGGCCAGGGGATCAGATAGGAGTACCTGCCACCAGAGTGCAAACTTCCAGTCCATGCTTTAGTGCCCAGCACAGTGTCTATCCTTCATCATCTAAAAACAGACCAGAAAGAATGGAATTTCAAAGAGGAGAAAGTTATTAAAACAAAGAGCACAGATCCTGCAATCCTACCCCATGGAAAAGAGGGAGCTGGCATTCAGCAGATACAAAAGCAGCAAACATGAATAAAATAGAATTCACAGTCTCAGGAAAGGCTCTTTGTGGTGAATCATTTGAGAGTGCTAGGTAGTAATATCTATATGCAAATAGTTAATCAACTCTCACACACACTGTTTACAGAACTGCAGTGAGCATGGTGTTACACCATCCTCTGCCTCTCTGTAAAGCCAAAGGTAAATGAAGCAAAGTCACCTATTTCACATGCCACCAAATATCTCAAGTTACTGAGGCAGGCTTGGAAAGATCCTTATTGGGGTTTTTTTGCAAAATAAGCTACAATTCTTTGCATGAATTATCTGTAAGCTAAAACTTAAATCTGGAAACAAGAATGCAGGTGATGTTCACCTGAGCCTCTGCTTCAGCTCACTAAAGGACATGTGACATACTGCCAGAGCTGATTTCAGCTGGTTTTACACTTCAGTTTCTGAATACCAGTTTGGAGGTTTGGTCCATGGTAAGTAATGAACATCCACGTTTCTTGACTTTAGTGGTAAGGCTTTCTTCTTTTTAATTCTGTTCATCCTGCTATATTTTAGATGCTTCTCTTAAGCATGCAGAATAAAAAGAAATCCCAGCTATTGTGGAACAGATCATCATCTTTTCCAAACTAGCCATTAAGAGAGAGAAGCTGTTCAGAGATAGATCAACCTGAACATCCTGCAGATGAAACAAAATGCAACAGTCATTTCACTAACATCTGCTCAGGCAATTCCTAACATTGTGCAGCAGTGACATTAACTGGTGTTTGCTTACTCTTTTTTTAAGAAAAGGCAAGGATTTAAAGTCCTGAATGACTCTGATGTGCTCACGTGAATGATGAATAAGCAGGCTGCAAGATTTTGTGTTGTTTATGCAAGTGTAAGAGATGATACCTGTCAAAGTGTCACCAGCAAGGTGCTGCTGCAGGAGACAGTGCACAACCACCCTCCCCAAGAGCATTTCCTAAGACTAACAGCCAAAAGCCATGAATACAAACCAGCCATTTCTAGAGAAACTAGAGATGTTAAGATTCAAGAAATGGGATCATCCTATTTCTCTAAAAAATGAATGAAGCCTGAAGAGATCAAGAGGCATAAGCTAAGCCAGGCTGATGATCCAGCTCAGGCCAGAGACCAAAGAACCCAGAGGAAAATCACTCTCCTCAAATGAATGCAACCAACAAGTAACTGTTCCAAGAAGCTGTGAAGGTTGATGGGGTCCTGCCATCAGGGTGTGGATATAAAGCTCTAAAGCTCACTCAAAGCAAGCTGACTCCTGCACCTAAAACTCTTGGGTCACAAGATGTACAATTTGTATCAGAGAGGGCTCAGACAACAAAGCAAAACCACAAAGCCAAAAAGGGCTTGATCTCATCCCTCCTGTTATCTCTGGTAATGCTCTGGAAGATGGGAACTCTTCCAACTCAGCAGTGCCAGGAAGGCAGAGATGGGAACACCTCAATGGAATGGGAGAGTTTTCAGAGTCAGTGAAGCAGAATCACCCCTAACAACAGCTCAAACATCACCTCAGACATTACCCTGCACTCTGAGTGAGGTCAGGAGGTCCTATTGATGGACAAAACCTACCAAAATCAACAAAAGGACCGAAAATATTTTACTTATTGTAAATGTAAGCCAGGTAGGAGGCTGGAAGACCAAGCCTTGAAAAGCCATCATGAAAAGGGGAAAAGGTCCAAGCCCAAAGAGAAAGGGTCACACATGAAGTGGAAACACAGACAAGCACAGACCTCCAAGGTAAAACATAGAAAAGCTGAAAAGCTGCAGGCAAAGCTTCACTTTTTGTTTGGATTTTGGCAAGACCAGGAACTTCCCTAAGAGCAACTGGAAAGGATGCAGGTGTATGAGGCCTGACACCTTTGTGACCAAAGAGAGAGAGGCTGCAGGCATGGGTAAAGCACAAAGACAGCCAGGGCTGAGCAAGGAAAAGCTGCACCAAAGCCTTACCTGACCCCAGCTGCCAGGGGCTGCCCTCCTCCAGCCAGGCCATGCAGCTCTGTGCTGCTCTTCACCAGGTGTCAATGGACAAAACACCAGAACTGCTTGGTTCAATTCTTCTCCCAACCCAAATCACACGTGGAAAAAGCAGGCACTGAGCTCCACTGCTGAGAACACAATTGATTTTTATCCTCCTCTGCCTCTCTTGGTGTGTCAGTCTCACAAATATTCCACCTGAGCCTTGCAAAGCAGCAGGTACCTGAGAAGGCACTGAGTCAGGTCACACCCAAAAAGATGTTTTCAGGCAAATATAATGAGCAGTTACACAAACACTTCTCTATCTCACCTCTACTAAAAGCTCATTAAAACCAAGCTTCCTAATCACTTCAATTTAAAATATAGAAAACCAGGAAGGTGTGAAGTATGTGTTTCTTTTTTTTCCTTCTTAAATGTTTGCAAGTTCTAAACTGTGAGGTAAATATGAGCCAAACCTTCTGACCATGCTGACTACTGGTGCATGAAGAACCATAAGAGATTGAGTGGGACAAAGCCTAAGTCCAGGAGATGTAGAAAATACCTAGAAAAGGAAAAATATTCCAAAAATGTAACAAATACTGAAAAGAAGCTAGAGAGTCATATAATCTTCTGTCCAACTTCTCTACTTGCCAGTTATTTCTTTTTTTTTTTTTTTAATTGTTCCCCCAATGTAAGGTTGCAAAGGGGCACTGAGAAGCCATCTACTGGTATGCCCAAATTCCTTCAGTCCACATTCAGCTCAAATTTCTAAGAAGCAATTATAAATACTTCAAAAACAAGTTTTGCCTGAGCAGTTTCAATACAAAAACCACTGGGCTAAACATAAACTTGATTTAAGTAGTGGAGCATATCTTGATTATTCCAGGTATTATTCTAACAAGTTTAAGAGCATGGTACCCAGCCCAAAAACCCAGGATGTGATTGATACTTGTGCTCTAGTAATTCCTTTCCACATTTCCACATTTCCACATTTCCACATTCATTCCAGCTGCAGCAGTCAGGCAGTGAAGAGCAGCACTGCCCTGCAGGCTACACCCAGAGCACTGCCACAGGCCAAGAGTCACCTACAGGCAAATAGCAATTTTGTTAGATTTTTGTAAATTTAAATGTATATCCAGGCTGATTTCAAACTGTGCCACAGCTTTAGTATCCTAGTGTGTGTGCAGAGGCTACAATGCCAGATGGCATAAATGAAGTCCTGAAATCATTTCAGGAAAACCAGCAATCCAACTTCTCCACACATACCAGGAGAGGTAACTCACCAACTCAATTCATGTGGCATCATGAATATTCTTCAGGGATTATGAGATGAGAATGGAAGCTAAAACATTATTAGTAGATAAAGGAGTCCAGGCACTTGTGTACTAAGATATAAAAATGAGTTTTAACTTCTTCAGAGCCTGATTTCTGATTGCTGTTAATAACTATAGTTTCTAAAATAGCTTATTTAGACAACTAATAGAAAAAAAGTGTGCATTTACACAGCCATAGGCTTTTCCTTCTCCTTTCATTCTGCCAGCAGCCATCTTCTTACAGCAGCATTGAGACACCTGCAGTGGCTGAACTGTTTAATGACAGGACTGAACTCAAGAGTGTAACAAGCAAATGAACATCTAATCACACTTACATCTCAATTTTCATCAAGCAATCCTATCTCTGTAAGTAACTGCAATCATTCTCAGGCTCTTGGTATTAAAGTCTGATTGGGGGGTTTTTTCTCACTAAAGGTTTTGTGGTCTCAGTTTGGAACAGAGAAGAATTTTTTGCTAACACAAGCAGAGGCTCTGTGCATCAAAAACAAGTCTGTCTTTGCTTGAGATGCACCTGGCTGTGCCAATCCCACACTTCCTCCTGGAAGCCTTCTCACATATTTATACACTGCACTTCCTCCATGCCCAGGGTTTAATCAATTCAGGCATCATTACCTAATTTTCACCTACCACCACAGTACATGACAATAGAGAATCAATGTGAATTATGTACCCCATCTTTCTGTTACATCAAGAGCAAAGTTCACAGTCTCTATGGCCAGATCCAGCTCTGTATCTGAAAAACATGCATTTTTAAATTAATAAAAAGTTACACCAAACATCCTTGTGGTGTGTCCTGGATTAATTAACTTATTACTAGAGGCTTTGTAAGAAATACACAATGGTTAAAAAGATGCAAAACACACAACTACTTTGCATTTCAAGCTCAAACTGAAACAGCCACAGAAGACAGCACAGACATTATTTAGTGTTAATACTTCCTGCTCCTCTCCTGGTTACCCAGCCTACAAGCAAGTTGCTACTTTGGATTTGGATTTCATGCATTAGTGACAAAGATTGCCTCTACTGATGGCTTTCCTAAATGCCTGATGTCCCCTCTTTTTCCCAAGGTCAATCATTCTGTGGAAATATCGAGCAGAAAACTTTCTGAGCTAATTCACTTGCAGCCTTTGTTCACACAAAAGGAACACTGAAAATAGCCTGTCTCAGTAGGAACTGCTCAGAAGATCCTATCTGCACACCTGAGCTTTCAGCTGCACTTGACAGTTCAAACAAGACAAGTCTACCAAAAAACAGACCAGTTTTCTTCAGAATGCCAAAAAAACTCTACCCTGCAGAAATAATCTTCATGGAAAGTCAGGATATCACACCTGAATCCCAAGAACTCAAATATATGGCCTTTGGATCATTAGAGAACAGAAAACAGAGAATCAGTATAAAAAGTTCAATCAAGTGAAAATGACTGAAGTTAAAGGAAAAAACCATTTCAAGTGTTGCCTCTGAGAAGAAGGATGATTATTCCCACCACAAAATTGGACTCTAAACCATTCTGCTAGAGTCTAGACTTTGCTGTAACAGAAGAGCACTGCTTTTCATGTATTCCTGAAATGCAAATTTCCATTACTACTTATTCCTCATTCAAGAAGGGGTGGAGCTAATCACAGCAATGAAGAGTGAGCAACCACAGGAGTGCATTTCCCTATGAGTGAACAAACACTCTGCCCATCCCACACTGCACACATCTGATACCAGAATCATCACAAAGACCTACTCAAAGAGTTGCACATCTGT